CTTCAGCCTTATTGGAGGCATTCTAATCATCCGAAAGATTAACCTTTAGTTTCAACTAAGCTTTGTCATAGTGGGGTAACACTTCGCACTCTTAAGGGTACTTAAACACAAGAAGGAATAGCAATTCAAGTTTTTAGTACTATCCCAGCCATGAACTAGAGGTGTATTGTTTACAATGTTAAGGGCACTTAAACACAACAAGGGATGTTTACATTTTTAAGGGCACTTAAACACAACAAGGGATAGAAATTCTAGTTTTTGATGCTGCCCCACTAGAGGTGCATTGTTGTGGGTGTGCAGCTCTACGTGGGCACAGTCTCTCAACCGGGATCCTTCTCTCACTGGAGCTTTCTGGCCAACATCTTCAAGTCGATCCTGGGACCCCCCCCCCCCCCTAAACCCTAAACCCTAAACCCTAAACCCCAAACCCTAAACCCTAAACCCTCCTACAAGCCTCGACCCGAAATCGATTTTTAACCCTAAGCCCTGGGGCCAGCTGCTACGAGGGTCTTGGAACATTTGGGTTTAGGGTTTAGCGCCTCAACACTCGCCCCAAACCCTGCACCCTAAACCCTAAACCCAAATCCAGCGCTGACTCTTTTTACGCCCTTAGGCCGAAACCCTAACCCTCTGCCACCCCCATAGGCCCCTAACTGGGATGTCCCGACGGTTTGGCCTACCTGAAGGCTCTAAAGTAATTCCTTTTTGGGTTACTCTATATCCCCCTTGGGAATCATTTTTCATTTTGTTAATATAAACCCCAAGAGGATATTAAACATATTATGTTGATTAAGGTTGTAAGGGGAGTATAGTACTTCTAGAGATTCTAGTATACGAGCCCAAAAAGGTACGACATCGGAGCCTTTGGGTAGACTGGGACGGGTCAAGCTAGCTTCCCTGAATCCCCAACCTTTGCAAAACCCACCTTTTGGGGTATAGGGTTTAGGGTTTAGGGTTTAGGGTTTAGGGTTTAGGGTTTAGGGTTTAGGGTTTAGGGTTTAGGGTTTAGAAGGCTGGAGTAGAAGAGCACTTACAAGCCCCATCTCCTGATGCTGTCGGTCAGAAGTTTTCGGGTAGTGTAGGGACCTCTGCCTTTTTGAATGGCCATCTCGGTATCTTTGGGCAGGTTTAAAGACAACACTGTTAGTTAAGTCCCTAAAGCCCTAAACCCTAAGCTCTATGAACCTTTACACCCTCACTTGTAAACTGGATTCCATAACGCCCCAACCTCGAAAGCCGAAACCCTAAACCCTAAACCCTAAACCTTAAACCCTAAACCCTAAAGCCTATGTAATTAAACCCTAACCCTAAATCCTTGTAGGACTCCTGCACTTGGTTCTGCTTCTTCACTTCGGAGATGCGTTTGCTGGTCGCGACCGGGGTGGGCCGCGGTGGCTTGGGGTATTTTGCGTCTATTCCCGTTTTTGGGTAAAGGGTTTAGGCTTAGGGCTAAGGGAATTTTAGGGTTTAGGGTTTAGGGTTTAGGGTTTAGGGTTTAGGGTTTAGGGTTTAGGGTTTAGGGTTTAGGGTTTAGGGTTTAGGGGTGTATGTGTAGGTAGGCCCTTTTGGGATATTTAATTTTACCTTTTTGGCGTTAAGAGGACTCTCTCACATGTAGGCATATTTTTCAACGGGTTTTAGGCGCCAACCTCTAGAGGGGTTCGGCCGAAAGGGTTCAGTGTTCACGGAATAGGGGCCGGCGACGGTCTTAGGGTTGAGGGCTCGCATCAGGCGTCCAGCGCCCAGGTATTGGCCGAAGAGGCTGAAGAGGAGGTTCTTCTCACTTTTTGTTGTGTTTCTCGTCTTTCTCACCCGCTAGTAGTGCCTCTTTTTCGACGCTTCCGCGGAGCAAAGAAAAGACTCCGGCTTGCTGTTTAGGGTTAAGGGTTTAGGGTTAAGGGTTTAGGGTTTAGGGATCAGGGTTTAGGGTGGAAGTAGGCAGACTCCTACAGGCGGCGCCTCCCTAAACCCTGAACCCTAGGCCCTTCTGGCGGGCCGTTTCGGTAGAAGACGTTTTCCCGCTCGCTTGAGAATAATGCAGGCTAAACCCTGAACCCTGAACCCTAAACCCTAAACCCTAAACCCTGAACCCTAAACCCTAAACCCTAAACCCTAAACCCTGGAGAGGCTTGAGCTCAGACTTTTTCTGGGAAGACCTTAGGCTGTCGGGCTTCGAGCGGGGGGCAGTCCCGGTCTGACTATAAAGACGCAAATATCTGTATACGTGTACATATGTATGTATATATCTATCTATCTATCTATCTATCTATCTATATATATATATATATATATATATATATATATATATATATTCGCCTGGTCATATATGTATAATATATATATATATATATGTGTGTGTGTACACATATGTTCATATATACATACAGACATATATATATATATGCACGTGTGCATTCGTATACATGTGTAGATGAGGGTTCAGGGTTTAGGGGCCAATGTGCGTTGAATGCGAACTGTTTCGGAAGATGGAGCTGGGCCGTTTTGACTTCTAGGTTGTTTTTGGAACATCGCGAGACCGTTTTCCTGGACCCCCAAAGAATCCGTAACAAGAGACTATATGCCCTTGGGGGGGGAGCTTATCGGCATTGTGCTGATTTTGTTGTTTTGCGGGGGGGGGGGGGGTGTGTGTAAGAGTTAAATCGTTTACCCGCACACTCCCTCCTTTAACCCGTCTACCCGCACACTCCCCCGCCATGCGGTCAGGAATCCAGTTTGCTGTGGCTGCTCGCCGGTGCTGATCGTGGAGCTTAGAGGATTGAGGGTTCCCATAGCCTACCGCTCGAAGCCTCAACACTCAACCCAACTGGTTTCGGGTTTAGGGTTTAGGGTTTAGGGTTTAGGGTTTAGGGTTTAGGGTTTAGGGTCGGTTGAGGATGCCGCTCATCCAGCGCAATCCCATTGCTTCCCTCCAGCTGCCATTTACGACCAGGGTCCAGAATCTTCTGTAGACCCTTCGGCCTTAAATGTTGTAATAGGGTGTAAGGTTATCTAGGGTTTACGGGGTGTATTCGTGTACGCATGGGGGAGGAGTTCGCCTTTCCTTTAGATTTGGGGGTGCGCTTCCTATCGCGCGCTTGCAGAGATTAGAAGCCCCCCACCCGAACTATTGTCTTGCACGGTTTAGGGTTCTCCCCCCCCCCCCCCCCTCCAGACCCTTAGCAAGTTTTGTTCGGTTGGGGGCGAGCACAGGTCTCAGATTTAGGTGGGGCGGTGCTCTCGCCAGTTTCTGGTTTAGGATTCAGGACTTAGGATTTCAGGGTTCAGGGTTCAGGGTTTAGGGTTTAGGGTTTAGGGTTTAGGGTTTATAGGGGGCTTCAGGTGTAGGCTTCGAGGTTCAGACTGCTCTGACATCGGAAAACTGCCATGAGGGAGGGATCCGGCCTGGTGCGCGGCTTCGAGACGAAGCGCTTTTCCCGCCACGGCTGTTGACCAAAGATGCCGCCCTGCCATGAATCGCAGGGCTTACGGGTTTTCAGGGTTTTTAGTTTTTAGGGATTGTCGCTTTTTGGGTTAGCTTTTGTTTTCAGGTTTTGGGGTTTCTAGGGTTTGTAGGATTTCGTATAGGATTAACAAGGCTCTGCTCGTTGTGTCCTTGCTGACATCTTTCATGTGCACACACACAGACACGCACTCCCTCGCGCAATCCTCCCTCTGAATACTTCCTGCCTCATTCAGAGGTAGAGAACGCAGCCACGAATGGCAGGATAATCTCAGCGATTAGAGTTCGCCCCCGTACACAGACACGTGGCAATGTGGCCAATTTTCTGAAATCTGATCACATAATCCTTCGTTTTTGCATTGATTGTAATGTATCATGGAGCCTTAGATTCACATGCAGCCGATGCACTTGCACCTGGAGTGATTATTCAGCTGTAGGTGTTGAAGATTCAAAGCTTTGGAGTTAGGATGCAGGCCCGGCTCCGTCGGATAAAGGTCCCTCTGCTCATGTGCGCCAATTTTCTGCTATGACAAAAGGCGCCCACACAGCTGCAAGCTTCAATCTTTCAATCCCTAAACCCTAAACCCTAAACCCTACACCTTTATTCCCTTACCCCCCCCCCCCCCCCCCCCCAAACTGGGGTCGGACGGTTCTGAACACCTGCACCAGGCAAGTTGCAGAACTCCCAGATCCTGAGCCCTAAAGCCATCCCGCCGAAATTCGAGCCTAACGCCTCTCATGGGTTTAAAGTTTAGAGGGTTTAGGCTTTAGGGTGTAGGCTTTAGGGTTTAGGGCTTAGGGCACCAAACCATCACCCCGCAGCCTTCATCTGAGGTCAAGTGCTGTTGTTTTGGAGGGTCATAATCGATTCCAGTATGGAGGGTAAGGCTTGGGGTCCCACGGTGTCCGCCTTTCATTCTTAGGATATTTAGCCTGGCTCTTGCACTCCGGAGAATGGATTTAGGGTTTAGGGTCTAGGGCTTAGGATTGGCAGCAAAAGAGTTTGCAATAGAGTTTGAAGGTTCAGCCTTGGGGTAGGGTTTAGGCCTCAGCCTCAGTGCACCCTAGCAACCCCCCTATCCGTATTGTAGTTTACTTGAAAATGTTTATAAGGGGCAGAAAGAAGAGATGTCGGGGCTTGCCGGGGTAGGGACCCCAAACCCTAAACCCTAAACCCTAATGAGGGACCCATCGAAGTAGCCCGCGGAAACGGCCGCCTCAAGACCTCATCCGAAACCCTAACCCTACCTTGAGAACCTAAAACCTACTTTTTTGTAGGTTACCTAAGGGGTTAGTTTGTAAGAAGAATCTAAAACAAAGCAGGTTTTGGGTTCTTAAGGTAAACCATATCCGTTCCAGAACTCGAAACAGGCCCTAACCTGTTTGGGTGAGGGTTGTGGTTTGGGGAGATGTGGGTTTGGGAGTTTTGGGTTTGCGCTCGAGCTTGTCGTTAGGTCAGGGGGCTTTAGGTTTTCCTGGCTTTCGGTTTAGGGTTGAGGGTTGAGGGCCACCATTGTGGTGGTGCGTTTTAAGCTGACAGGCCATCACCTGCGACGTGGCACGCGGACCCTGCAGAGTTTACCTAAACCCTAAACGTCCTACATCTACGGTTTCAGGCCCCAAAACCCAGAATCTTAAGGGATTTGTTGGAGCCCGAAAACCCACCGATAAGGAGTATTGCGCAAGGCCGAATCAATGGCTAGTGAACCCTAAACCCTAAACCCTAAACCCTAAACCCTAAACCCTAAACCCTAAACCCTAAACCCTAAACCCTAAACCCTAAACCCTAAATCAATTTTCGAGCAACCGCATCTTGCCAGCCGGTGCTCCGAGATCTGCCAAAAAAGCCGCCAAACAGTCCCCCAAGCTAGCAAGCTCGATTCAAAACCCGGATTCAAAGACCCTCAGCCCGAAGCGGATTCAAAAACCCTAAGCCCGAAGCCCGAAGCCCTAAGCCCGAAGCCCTGAGCCCTGAGCCCTAAGCCTGAGCCTGGATTTCTCAACTTACTACTATGACCGCGAGATTGCGCCCTGGATTTCTCAGCTTACTACTACGACACCGAGATTGCCGTCCCCTACTTGAAGGAGCACTCTGGATGTCTTAAGTTAGAGTTCAGGCCCAAGCTGTGGGGTGCTCCCTTAGGATTTAGGGTTTAGGTTTTAGGTTTCCGTGTTTTTTTGGGGTGGGACCCAGTGTCCTGAAGCGCGGCACTCCCACCCACGCCTCTAAGAGCCCTAAATTGTAGATTGGGTCTATGAGTGAGAGGTGCTAGGGTTCATCAGCCCTATGGCACTAACCTACATCCCTTGGGATGTTCCCCTTTTCCTAACAGTGCTTAATCCTATTGTAATTCCTATTAAGGACTGCTAGTATGAGGGGACATCCCAGTATGTACCCCTAGACCAGTAACCTATAATCATATACCCCTCAACTCTATGGCCTTCGGGGTTTCTGTTTCGACTTCCCCGCGCGTGACCCCTGCGCGCCAGATGTCGGTGGCGTGCGCGTGCCCGACTCAGAGGCTGGACCGTGGAAGGGTTCTAGAGTTTATAGGGTTTAGGGTTTAGGGTTTAGGGTTTAGGGTTTAGGGGGGCTTGTGGATTTGTAAGGTTTCGGGTTTTGGGCTGAGGGGTTTGGGGCTTGTAGGTTGACGGTTCGGGGTCTTGGGCGTTAAGGTTTTGGACTTAGGGGTTTGGGGTTTTAGGGGGCTTTAAGGTTCGAGGTTTCGGATTTAGGGTTTTGGGAGGTTTGGGAGGTTGGGGAGGTTGAGGGTTTTAGGGCGGCTAAGGTCTATGGTTGAGGTTGTATTTGCGTCGGTATAGATCGGGGTTTAAGGTTCAAGGAATTTTAGGGGACTTCAGGTTTCGGGGTTTAGTGTTCGGTGTTTGGGCTCAGACGTCTTGAGAGGTTCAGGCTATAAACTCTGCTCTAGGTTAGTTTTTTAACTACAGGCTGCTATGTATAAACCTTAAACCCTTAACCCTCAAGCCTAAACCCACCCTTTTGGGGCAGTGTCCTAAAAATTCCGATCGCTAACCCCCCAAAAAAGGGACTACATCTGAGCCTTCACTTGCAGCGCAGGTAGAGTCAGAGATTTGGACGTGGGTGGGGGGGGGGGGGGGGGGGGGGGGGGGGGTTAGAACCTTACGGTATATTAGGGTTTAGGGTTTTAGGGTTTAGGGTTTATTGGAGGTTCATGAGTAGTTACAACTGGGGTAGCTCTAGTTCTTCTTTAGGGTACTTCTAGATAGAGTTAAAGCATAATCAGGTCTCAGTGTTTGGAGCTTCTTGGGTTTTTTTGATCAACCCAGTATGTTCCTCCCTAATTGTCCTTCACCATTCGCGGATACACTAGTTTCGAACTCAACGTGTCTCAGGATCTTAAACCCTAAACCCTAAACCCTAAACCCTAAACCCTAAACCCTAAACCCTAAACCCTAAACCCTACGATTCAGCCTGTCAGCCCGGTGAAGCGTCTTCGGGTGTTTTTACGATTTTGTGCTTCCGGGCTTTGGGTTTTACTTGCCGGGTCTAAAATCTAAACACCCAGTACTCATACAGCCCACCGAAGCTCTGAGACCTAAACCCCAAACCCTAAACCCTAAACCCTAAACCCTAAACCCTAAACCCTAAACCCTAAACCCCTGTGCCAGGGCTTTTGCTGTGGCTGTGGCCTTGGGGAGGTGGTGTCAGGAGCCCAGATGCACTCGATGGTATGAGGGTTCAGGGTTTAGGGTTTAAGGTTTAGGGTTTAGGGTTTAGGGTTTAGGGTTTATATAGGGTTTTAGGGTTTTGGGTTTTAGGGTTTTGGGTTTTAGGAATTTGGGTTTTAGGGTTTAGGGTTTAAGGTCTATAGCATGTGCTTCGGGGTTGAGGGTTTTCGGCCTTAGGGGGAGATAGGGGTTGATAGGGGTGCATGGAATGTTAACGTCTCATCAATAAACCCCCCGGGTCCCCCCTTCCCCCCCCCCCGCCCCCCCCTTCCAGATTTTGTCTTGGTTTCCGGGAATTGGAGGGTGGAAAAAAGAGGGGGTGAGAAGAAAGAGTTCCTGGGGTCTGGGGGTCTGGGGGTTTGAGGGAGCCTACCTGAAGGGAATTTTCTCTTAAGCCTTAAGAGAGATGGTTTCTGAAACTTGAGGCTTCCCGCGGCCCCCGGGATTACATAATTGCCCCCTTCCTTTCCCCCCTCCGCGCTCTCCCCTTGTTGCTCCTTGGTTGTGGGGTTTTTGGGGGTTAGGCTGTACGGTGAGGTTGAGGTTGATGTTTGAGTATTCAGGGCTTCTAGTAGAAGTTCTTACGATGATGTTTGAGTATTCAGGGTATGTTTATAGTATATAGGTTTCTAGGATATGGGGTTTAGGTTAGGGTTTATGGTTGAGGGCTGCGGCTCACGGCCCACGCGTAGACATGATACCACAGTGCTTTTACCACCCTGCACGGCCTGACTTCGTGGTTCGTGGTACTTCTTAACCCAAGTTTAGCCGTACACATAGCCAATTTATAACCACATTAGGGTACCAAAGGGGCTTTATGGGCGGGTTGTAAGTCCAGTTATCATTTTTGACGGGGTGATAAGCACCCTTGAACCTCCAAGAAGGCCTTGTCCCCAAATGGCCTGGGAGCACCAAAGCCCTGCCCTAAGGGTCCATGTATCTACAAAGCACATACTTGGGCCCGCAAGCCACAAGATGAGAGCCCCGTTAACTACGATTTGCTGAAGAACCCCAATATTATCATTTTTGTTTTTTTTTTTGGGGGGGGGGGGGGGGGGGGGGGGGGGGGGGGTTCTTAAGCAATTCGTAGTTAAGGCCCAATTATCTTCTATATTTTTCATGGGCCCTTGGGGGTAGCTGTTGCACGATGGCGGACCCCCACACGGCCCCAAACCCTGACCATTGACAGCTGCAGTCCTACCGTAAACATCAAACTCTCTGAAGCAGTCGGATGGTTGCCCTAGACCCCAAACCCTAAACCCTAAACCCTAAACCCTAAACCCTAAACCCTAAACCCCAATTATCTGGTCCAAGGCTCCATAAGCCCCTAAGCCATTTCAGGTCTGGGCAGCCAACTCGCTCGTCTGCAGACTGCGGGCTCTTCAGCATGAGTCGAAGCCCCAGCGCAACTAGAAACCACGGGGAAGAATTCTTCCCAACTGCCCCTAAACCCTAAACCCTAAGCCCTAAACCCTAAAGGGGAAACATATTTCCCCATGTGCACGTAGTAGCTGCTTCAGATTTGTCTTGAGATGAGTTAGGACTTCACGAGCTAGGTTCCGCCTGCTTCTGCTCAGGGTTTAGGGTTTAGGGTTTAGGGTTGAGGGTTGAGGGTTTAGGGTTTAGGGTTCAAGAGCTCTTGGTCGAGCAGTTTCTCGTTTAGGCTCGTTGTTTAGAACATCGAAAAATTCCCACCCACCCGAAGTTCCCATAACATTAAGAAATACAAAGTTTCTTCCTTTTATCAGGATGGCTCAACAATAAAATTAATGCCCACCACTTAACCCTCAAGGCCTTGAGGCCCTGAACACCGGCCTTGAGGCCCTGAAACCCTAAACGCCAGGCCTCCAGACCCTAAACACCAGAAACCCTAAACACCAGGCCCTGAAACCCTAACACCTAGGCCCTGAAACCCTAAACCAGGCCTTGAGGCCCTGAGACCCTAAACACCAGGCCTTGAGGCCCTGAAACCAGGCCTTGAGGCCCTGAAACCCTAGCCTTGAGGCCCTGAAACCCTAAACACCAGGCCTTGAGGCCCTGGAACCCTTGGGCCTGGAACCCGGAACCCTAAACACCAGGCCTTGAAACCCTAAACACCAGGCCTTGACACCCTGAAATAAACCAGGCCTTAGCTTGAAACTTAAACACCCGCCTTGACACCAGGCCTTGAGGCCCTGAAACCCTAAACACCAAGCCTTGAGGCCCTGAAACCCTAAACACCAGGCCTTGAGGCCCTGAAACCCTAAACGCCAGGCCTTGAGGCCCTGAAACCCTGAACACCAGGCCTTGAGACCCTAAACACTAGGCGTTGAGGCCCTGAAACCAGGCCTTGAGGCCCGGAAACCCTAGCCTTGAGGCTCTGAAACCCTAAACACCAGGCCTTGAGGCCCTGGAACCTTAAACACCAGGCCTTGAGGCCCTGAAACCCTAAACACCAAGCCTTGAGGCCTTGAAACCCTAAACACCAGGCCTTGAGGCCCTGAAACCCTAAACGCCAGGCCTTGAGGCTCTGAAACCCTAAACACCAGGCCTTGAGGCCCTGGAACCTTAAACACCAGGCCTTGAGGCCCTGAAACCCTAAACACCAAGCCTTGAGGCCTTGAAACCCTAAACACCAGGCCTTGAGGCCCTGAAACCCTAAACGCCAGGCCTTGAGGCTCTGAAACCCTAAACACCAGGCCTTGAGGCCCTGGAACCTTAAACACCAGGCCTTGAGGCCCTGAAACCCTAAACACCAAGCCTTGAGGCCTTGAAACCCTAAACACCAGGCCTTGAGGCCCTGAAACCCTAAACGCCAGGCCTTGAGGCTCTGAAACCCTAAACACCAGGCCTTGAGGCCCTGGAACCTTAAACACCAGGCCTTGAGGCCCTGAAACCCTAAACACCAAGCCTTGAGGCCTTGAAACCCTAAACACCAGGCCTTGAGGCCCTGAAACCCTAAACACCACGCCTTGAGTTTTGGGTCTCAAGGGTTTGGGTTCTCAAGGTTTTAGGGTCTCAAGGGTTTAGGGGCTCAAGGGTTGAGGGTCTCAAGGGTTTAGGGGCTCAAGGGTGTAGGGGCTCAAGGCGCCCTTGCCCGCGAATATTTGGGCCTTGCCCACGAATATGTTTAGGGTTGAGGGTTTTTTTTGGGCTTGAGGGTTTAGGCGTTTAGGGTTTAGGATTTTGTTAGGTGGCCCTAGGCCTCAAGGCCGCCGAACCCTACCAAGCACCTAAGCCCAAGACATGCACCTCAGGTGACAGCGCGCACTGCCTCAACTTCGATGGCCTCTGGTATTCTGTCTATGAGGTCGACCGCCCCCAGGCCCCCTGCTCACGTTATAGTCCTTCTTACTGGCTCAAAACCCAACTTTTCAACTTATGGGCTTCTTATAAGGCAGTTTATTCTGAAAGTTTCAACTTTTATGTCCTTGGGTTTTGGGCCAGTAAGCCTTCATGATGCAGGGCTTTCGGGGGTTCTTCGGTATGTTCCCAAACCCTAAGCCAAGAACCGTAACACCGCAGGGCCGGAGGAATGCGGTCATCATGAGACATACTGTACACAAGGTTTTTGGTACAGAGTTCCTCGGTAGTCCCTTGGGACATTTTATGTTTTCCCTTATTGGGTTTAAGAGGATCATAGTAAGTTTTTTCAGAGAGTTTTAAGGGCCGTCCTAGGTTCCATAATGGCAGCATTGGACCCTCTGACCAGTGCGACGAAAAGATTCATGAAATCTAGCCAGTACACGAGGACCCTAAATCCTCAGCTCTAAATACTACATTGTACAGAGACTCCTCGATACCCTTTGTAAGAGGGCAATGCACCTTGTTGGGTTCCATACCCTTCCTTCAGCCGCTTATGGGTATCCAGGCAGGAAAGCTGCATCGGTTCTAAACACAGCCCCTCAGCCTTCTGAAGCCTTCAACCCTTTCAAAATTTGGGTCATTTTCCCCTATATGAGCCTATATGGTATATATATATACTACTCTAACAATAAGGGTAAGATGAACCATAAAACCCTTTTGCCTGAACTGGACCGCAGGCTCACCCCCGTGCGTGCTTTCAGGCCCCAGCAGACCCTAAACCCTGCACCCTACTCAAAGGCTCCAGCGTAGTACCTTCTCGGGTACTAGACTAGAATCTCCTTTCGCCACCCCAAAAGGAGATTAGATTTGAGCCTTCAGGTAAAGTCGAAAGGGGAAACTCAAAGTTTGCACCCGTGGTCAGTAGGCGCGCAGGTCCCTTGGATGCCTCAGTTTTATGGAACACTATCACTTCCTACCACCCTCCCCCCACCCCCCGATTCCGCAACAAAAGCAGTCCTTGGGGCCTTTTTAAAAAAATACAGTTCAGGGTAAGGCTTATAGGACCTGTAGACTTCTCGGGTTTGCAGGGGATGGGCTTGTAGGGACCACAGGGCATATCTGACCCGTTTGGGAGATGTGTTTTTGTTTCTGCACCTGTGTGGGTTGCATGCGTTGCAAGGGGCGATTAGCATTGCAACGGTTCAGGGGTCAAAGCCCTGCAAACCCTGCAAACCTCATGCCTTGGGATGTTCCCCCTTATACTAGCAGTCCTTGATAAAGATTATAAACTAGGGGGTGCTATAATCCCTATTAAGGACTGTTAGTCTATGGCGGAACATCCCAACCTGTATCCTAAGCACCCAGTTGAGACAAGGTTTAGGAATTCTAGGGTCTGCAAGATCTTCTACGACATCACCATCAGCATCCTCTTGCCGACGGAGTACAAGCTCGGCGGGACATTTGGGGTTTCAGGTGGTTTTTGGAATCCGTAAGCCCTAAGCCCTAAATCTCAAATCCAAAGCCCTAAAACCTAAACCCTATTTACATAAGCACGCCGCATGTCGGGACGGTTGGGGGAGGGAGCCTTAGCATGGTGGATTTCGGCCGAGGGAACTTCTGGGGAGAGGATCACAGGGCGCCCCAGCCCTCAAAGCCTGCAAACCCTTGAGCCCTGGAAGGTCCATGTGGGCAGTTGCTTGGTTCTAGGGTTTAGGGTTTGGGGCCACTAGGCCCGGAGTGGGCCCTTCTTTCCGTTGTTTAGGGTGTAACAGCCCTTATTTATTTACCCCGTTTCAACCCAGTAAAGGGCACCCTTCTATATCCTAGGCTACTCTTGAGTCGAGGCTCTCTACATTCGGGTCCCTTTTTGGGTACCTTTTACAAGGGTGCCAGCTTATATTGGGGACCCCAAAAAAAGAGACTCTAATGTAGAGAGCTGCCCATGTGGAGGTCCATTCGCCATGGGCACTGAAGTTTCCTCAGTTTGTTTCTTTTTTTGGTGAAAACCGAACCCAAGGGAATGTAAACGGTATTGTTTATCATTGTGGCTGGAAGTGGAGTGTAGGGTAGTTAGAGCTGGGTTTTAAGTGGGTTTAGGGTTCAGAAGTTGGTGTTTAGGGTCTAGGGTTTAGGGTGGGAACCTTATTTGGGGTTCTTATAACCGGGCTTATATAGCTACCCATGAACCTAAGTAGGGCCAGTAGTGCAGTGGTGCAGAAAAAGGTTTTGCCGGCCGCTGCAGACTTACCCATGAGCACAGGACTAGGATTTTATAGGAGGCGGTTGAGGGTACTAGGGGTGCGACACATGCAAAGCTGATGCAGTGAAGCCCCCGCCTCACCCCCCCCCCCCCCCCCCCCACAAGCGCAAGCAGTCCTTCAACCCTAAACCCTAAACCCTAAACCCTAAACCCTAAACCCTATACCCTATACCCTAAACCCTATACCCTATACCCTATACCCTATACCCTAAACCCAACGGGTGCAGGAATGTGACCTACCGGGAATCTTCGCTTTTTCTGAGTACCTCAGCGTGGTTTCATCAGCTCTGCAGCCCCCATTCTTGGGCAGGTGAACCCTGATGTTAGGTTTGTGGATTTAGGGTTTCGGGTTTAGCGATCCGGGTTCGGGGTTTGTAGGTTTATGGGCCTTTTAAGGGCTTTTTAAGGGCTTGAGGCTGTTTAGGGTGTTTTTGGGGTTGTGGGTTCAGGGCTTTCAGGAAATCCTTCTTAGCTGAACCTGATGTCGGCGGCTTCCACGTCGAGAGTGAAGTAGATGAGCAGTAGATGAGTTGAACCCAGGGTTTGGGTGAAGACCTGAATCCTGAACCCCCCTAGAATCTCAAAATCGCGGCCATACTGTAGGGACAACAGGAGACGCTGCACCCTACACCCTAAACCCTAAGCCCCCCCCAAAAAACCGCATGTACCAGAGTTGCACCCCGCCTAGCACGTAAAAGAGGCAGGCATGGTTTTAACCCTCTACCCTAAACCCTAAACCCTAAACCCTAAAAACCCTAAACCCCAAACCCGAAGCCACCAAGGCCACCACCAGCCTGTGGCGACAGCCGAGGGAGGCGCGCTGGGCCAACACACCAGACCGGTTTAGGGTTTAGGGTTTAGGGTTTAGGGTTTAGGGTTTAGGGTTTAGGGTTAGGGTAAGTTTACGGTTTAGGGTTTCGGGAACCAATCTTCTGGGCACGAGACGCTAAGCCCTAATGCTCCCAACGACCCTGAGCCCCTCCCCCTCCCCCCTCCCCAACAAAACCTACTCCCCAAACCCTAAACCCTAACTCTGCAGTTCCCCTGTTTGAAGGTTATGAGTAATTACGGCTATTCTGTCCCTGAGCTCGAGGAATAAGATTTTTCCAGCCATGACAACATGTATCTACGATTACTGAGCAAACCCTATGAATCCTGAACCCTATAAACCCCAAACGCGGCAAACCGTCACCAGACCCTAAACCCTAACCCTAAACCCCAAACCCTAAACCCTAAACCCTAAGCTCTAAACCCGAAACCCGAAACCCTAAACCCTAAACCCTAAACCTTAACCCTAAACCCTAAACCCTAAATCCTAAATCCTAAACCCTAAACCCTAAACCCTAAACCCTAAACCCTAAACCCTAAACCCTAACCCTAAACCCTAAACCCTAAACCCTAGGAGCTCTCCGCGCCGAACTGGTCGGAGACCTTGCAGCGGCCGTGGCACCCCACCGCTTTGAGTCTAAGCGCCTCGGCTTTGGGATTAGGGTGTGGGGTTTGCGGTTTAGGGTTTGGGGTTTAGGGTTTACGGTTTGGGGTTAAGGGCTTGAGGTTTCTAGGTTTAGGGTTTGAGGTGTCAAAGTTTAGGGTTTGAGGTGTCTAAGTTTAAGGCTTGGGGTTGGGGTCTGGGGTTTAGGTTTTGCGGTTCAGTGTTTGGGGTTTGGGTTTTAGCGTTTGTCGGTTTAGGATTTGGGGTTCTGGTTTAGGTTTTTGGGGTTCAAGTTTTAGGGTTTAGGGTTTGGGTTTGGGGTTCAGGGTTTGGGGTCTTGGGCTGAGGGTGTAGTGCGGGTGTACGGGATTTATGGGCTTCATCGTTTTTCTAGGGTTCAAATGGCTTTTCTTTCTGGGAGTAAGATTTAAGATCCAGGGCTTGGGGTTTAGGGTTTAAGGTGTGTGTGTGTGTGTGTGTGACTTGCTTGTTGTTGTTTGGTCTGTGACTTTCGTGGGGCTTGGGTTCACGTACACCCTAAACCCAAAGCCTAAACCCCTGAGTCCTGAAGGCCTTATAACCCCAAAACTCAGGGTTTTGGGTTTAGGGTTTAGGGTTCGAAGGCACCGAAGACCTTGAGTGAGGGCCCGCTTCCGTCGCGCGACAGTCAGCGAACGCCAAGAGGTCGTCTTGTTTTATGAGAACTCGATAGGTAATATCCAAGCAGCACCCATGATTTGGATCAACCCCCCCCAAATCTTGAATCTACATACGGCTTAGGGTTTGGAGTTCCTTGTTGTCGGGTCTGGGGTTAGAGTCTTTAGAATTCGGCTTCGGGTTTTTCTTCTGAGGTTCAACTAGGTTCCAAGCACCAACCAAGTATCCTGGCGACCAACCAGATGTAAACCTTGTAACAACCCCAAATGCTACACCCCCAACCCCCAACCCTAGACCCTAAACCATATCCCTACACCCTAAACCCTCCTCTCCACCATGCAGACTTTCCACCCAAGGAGTCTCAGCCCACAGCAGGGTTTGGGGTAAAGTAAGGGTTTGGCGTTTAAAGACTCGACTTTGTGTTAAGGGGTTAAGGGGTTTGACAGGGTATTACAGAGGTTAGAGGGCAACCACATCTCCCAGGTATTTGGTGGTGCCACAGCGTCCGACCGGACTCCGAGGGGGGTGGCTGGGGGGCATGGGGTTTCGGGTTTAGGGTTTCTTAGGGTTTAGGCCCTAAACCCTAAACCCTACACCCTATCGGGTTTAGGCCCTAAACTTTAGGGTTTAGGACCTATTGGGCCTTTAGGACCCTTAGGACCGACCTTTAGAACCTTGAGGACCTGTAGGACCTTTAGTGAGTTCCGCTAACATCCTGAAACCCCTGGCCCCAGAAGCTCTGACGCCGAGCTACCCTGACTCGGGAACTTAGTGGCTGCGCAGACGGGCTACTAACCTTGGGAACGAAATGAACCCTAACCCCTAAACCCTAAACCCTCAACCCTAAACCCTAAACCCTAAACCCTAAACCGTTTCTAGTATGCAGGGTGTATAATCCCAATTTTAGGGTTCATCTGGTCCCCAAGGAAGTAGGAGAACCCCAAGTGTAGGGTCCTCTTTGCTGCTTCTTTGCTACGGAGAACTCCATTAACTGCATAAGTCCGCCGATTCTCCAAGTAAGTTTACAGCACCTCCACAGGGTTTGAGAAGTTTGGGTTCAAGATTTCTAGGGTTTAGGGTTTAGGGTTTAGGGTTTAGGGTTTAGGGTTTAGGGTTTAGGGTTTAGGGTTTAGGGTTTAGGGTTTAGGGTTTAGACGTACAACCCCGCATGAAACCCCGACTACGCCCACAACGGCCCCAAATTGGACCTAAGCCTCATGGCCTATATGGTGAGTTCTCTGAAGTACAGGTATGGTCCCTTTTGGGTACCCAAAATGTAGGGACCTCCGTATAACAAGGACCTCAAAAGGGACCATTGTTCGAGAACTGACCATCTCATAATTTTCAATCCTGAACCCCAACCCACCAGTCCCCGAGCTGCGCTATTGCAGCCTTGAGGACACGCTCGAGTGAACCCTTCGGCGTCCGAGACCTACATCGAACAGATTTTTGCTGGTTACAAATTAGTGTCCAACATGTGGTGCATAATGCATCTTAAAGCACGGCCTAATGCATCAGATACAATAAAAATGCAGACTACGTCACATCGCCTATTACCTCCACCCAAGGTGTCAGCGCTTACGGATTTGAGGGTTTCAGGTGCCAAGGTTGCGGGTTTCGCGTGGGGTTGTAAAGGGTGCTAAGGGTTTGTGTAGGTTGCAGGTTTTCGGGTTTGAAGTATCGGGAGGCCTTTTAGGGTTTAGGGTTTAAGGTTTAGGGATTAGGGTTAGGGTTTAGGGTTTCGGGTTTAGGGTTTAGGGTGTAGGGTTTAGGGTTTAGGGTTTAGGGTTTAGGGTTTAAAGAAAAAGGAGCTCGTTTGGGGCGGTCGAGCCTCGACTTCCACAGGGGCTGCGCACCTTGGGCGACTCTAGGATCGGTTGCGTTCCCTCCTCTCGGGTTTGGATCGGGTTATATAATCCTTAAACCCTAGCCCTAAACCCTAACCCCTTAGACCCTAAACCATAAACTCTAAACCCTAAACAGGGTTTAGGTTTCAGGTTCCTTTCAGAGGCGCTGTGCCTTGCATGTAGGAACCTCCTTTAGGGTCCAGGGCTAAGACCAAGTGTATCCCGAGGCCGCTGGAGAATGCCATGCTGCTGGACAGGCACGCTTCGTTTCGTTTTTTCGAAGACTGAGAAGGGTCTTCATGTCTGAAGGCGATTGGAGGTCTAAAGGGCCCTCGAAAGCTCAATACCTCTTAGCTACCTTTTCTATACAAGGTCCTGGGTTATGAACGAAGGTATATTCCTCAATGAAGGGGCACTGGGCTCTGTGGTTAAGGATTGGGACATAATGTTCAGTCCCTTTACCTCCTAGTAACAAATGTGCTGTCGTAGATGGGGAATTCTTAGAAGCAGTACCTGATTTGGTGTAATTACTCCAGAAGGGAGCAGAATTTGCAGAGCCCTAAACCCCAAACCCCAAAACCTGATGTTTAGGGTTTAGGGTCCCATACGCAGTACTGTCCACCCGGCCCTTGCATGGAAGCGGATAGAGGGTTTCAGGGTTTAGGGTTGAGGCCCTCACAAGCACCGTAACTTACCGGTTCTTCTGGGTACCTTTCTATAGCTTCTGAAAGCAAGCCCTTAGCCCTGGGCCTCCCCTGAACCCCGAGCCCTCAACCATATCCCCTACGGGCTGCCGAAGGAGCCCTTTAACCACGACCCGAAACTTTTTTTAACCGACACCTTGAACCTTATACCAAAAACCTTAAACACTAAGACTTAAACCCTAAACCTCAACCCTGAACCCGAGGGTGTAGGGTTTGGGTGTTAAGGTTCAGGGTTGAGGGCTTAGTCTGTTGGCGCTGTCGGGGTGAGGTGTAGGGTTTCTAGGGTCGATTTGAAGAACCCAAAACCTTTGTCTTGTAGCCTATAAGTGAAGAATAACTTTGCTTAGGAAACCTAAGCAAAGTAGGCTTGAGCTTTTAAAGGTAGGGTTTCGGGCGCAGGGCTATCCCCTCAGCCTGAGTAAGGGAAGCGTTTGTGCCGGAGGTCCCTCTTCGACCTTTCTGGCAGGAGAGTGGGAAGATCGATTTAGGGTTTGGGGTTGAGGGTTTGGGATTTTGGTTTCGGGGTCTAGGGCGAATTCGGAACGGTTTTTAGGTTGCTCAGGGGTCTTGTAGATTCCGGGTGTATCTTGTTTCAGGGTTACTGCAGTTTCGTAGAGAAGTTCGGTACCCATAAAAGGAATGGGGAGTAAGCCTGGAGGCTTTAGGGCGGTTACATGGTCCCTTGTTTGGCCTGTAATCCCTCAACCTGCAACTCTTAAGCAGGGTTCTTGAAGCATTGGAAGCATGATATGGTCACTTCTTGAAGTTGCCCCTGAGAAATTACGATTATTCACTGAAAAGGAACCACAGTTTAGAGAACTCACCATATGCAAGTGGGGGCCTCCTGGGCGAACCACCCCCCCCCCCCATGCCTGACAGCGTGTTAGTAGGGAATGAGGGGATTAGGTACCGGAGATCCCCCATCCAAGGGATTCCGCGACTAAGCCACTAGGTATAAAGACTAAACCAATAACCCTGAACCCAAAACCCTAAACCCTAGTGAGGGGTCATAACGGATGAGTAAGGGTTTAGGGTTTAGGGTTTAGGGTTTAGGGTTTAGGGTTTAGGGTTTAGGGTTTAGCGTTTAGCGTTTAGCGTTTAGGGTTTAGGGTTTAGGGTTTAGGGTTTAGGGTTTAGGGTTTAGGGTAGGCATGGCTCCAACACGTGTCCAGGCTTCAAGGTGCCATCGAGCTTATAAATCTTAGGGTTAGGGTTTAGGGTTTAGGGTTTAGGGTTTAGGGTTTAGGGTTTAGGGTTTAGGGTTTAGGGTTTAGGGTTTAGGGTTTAGGGTTTAGGGTTTAGGGTTTAGGGGTAGGGTTTAGGGTTTAGGGTTTAGGGTTGAAGGGGCTGACCCTGCCAAGTGCCGAAACCCTCCGTGGGTTCAGGGTTTAGGTTTAGAGGCTTAAAATCCTATGAAATCTTAAAGCCTCCGAAGCCCCCTTCACTTCCACCCCCCCAACTTTTCCGCAGAAGAGAACGGGCAGCCGAAAACCTAAATCCTCAACGAGGTCGGCCCGGGCAGACGTCCCTAACACCTCAATTCCCCAAACCCTGAGTTTTGAAGGGTTTAGGTTCATGTCCTGTCCTCTCAATTCGGGATCTGGGCACCCTAACCTGGGGCCGCATTATCACATGGGCTCTTGGAGGGGCTTCTACTTGGGGGGGGGGGTTCATGGCAGTTACAAAGTGGAATGTCGAGAGTTCTAACTTTGCTTAGGGTACTACTTCGAAGTACCAAGGATTCAAGTAGCGAGGCCTTAGGCCTTTTTCGAGTTTCGGTGGCTTGCAGGGCCTAGAGTTTAGAGTTGACAAGTTCACGGGCCTCGACGCCCTAAACCCTGCCTGACGTAGTTCCTTCTTGGCTTAGTCATCGGGGTTTCCAGTATACTAGGTACCCCCCAAAAGGCACTACCATAGGAGCCTTTAGGTAACCCGAGGCCCCGAACTCTTCACCCCGAAGCCTGGTAATACCTACCAGTCTCATGAGAAAGGACGGCCCCCACCCGGCCCCACAAAAGTCCATAAACTCGAAGACCCAAGCCCTCGAAAAATCAATGCCAAGAAAGACCAACATGGCAAGCTCGCGCCAGGACCTGCGACAGGATCGGCGTTTCGTTTCCTGCCTTCCGGTGCCTCCTCCACCCGTTGCCGGTTCTGGGTTTAGGGTTTAGGGTTCAGGGTTTAGGGTCTAGGGTTTAGGGTTCAGGGTTTAGGGTTTAGGGTCTAGGGTTCAGGGTTGTAGGGTTCAGGGTTTAGAGTACAGGTGTACAGGTGTAGCTAGCGCCTTTCACGTCAGCAAAGTCATGCGGCGTGTTCCTGATCGGTATCCCTTTACGGTTTAGGGTTCACGGTAACCCGAAACCTTAAACCCAAAGCCTGAAACGCTAAACTGAAACCCTAAGCCCCTAAAACCTATGACAAACAAGAGCTACATACATACATATATATATGTATATTAAACATATATATACACACATATATATATATATATAATTACATATATATATATATATTAAGCATGTAGATATATCTTTTTGTAGGCTCTTGTCATATATGCCCTTATAGGATTCTTAGGCAACCCGCAAAAGAGTCGGTGTTAGGTCTTAGCGTTTAGGGTGCATAGCCACCCACCCCCCCCCCCCCCCCCCCCCCCCCTCAAGCAAAAAAACATAGGAAGCACCCTCCCTAAGCCAATTAAACCCTAAAACTGAAAACCCTTAACCCTAAACCGAAACGACAGGTACCAGGCGGCAGAAGTGCGACCGCCCTGCGGAAGCTCCTCTTTTTTTTTTTGTTTTTTTTGTTTTTTTTTTTTTTTTTTTTTTTTTTTTTTTTTTTTTTTTTTTTTTTTTTTTTTTTTTTTTTTTTTTTTTTTTTTTTTTTTTTTTTTTTTTTTTTTTTTTTTTTTTTTTTGTTTTGTTTTTTTTTTTTTTTTTTTTTTTTTTTTTTTTTTTTTTTTTTTTTTTTTTTTTTTTTTTTTTTTTTTTTTTTTTTTTTTTTTTTTTTTTTTTTTTTTTTTTTTGTCTTGATTGTTTTTGTTTTTTTTGTTTTTTTGTATTTTTTTTTATCTTTTTATATTTTTTTTCCTTTATTTTTTGGCGTTCAGGTTCACAAGACCTTACCCTAAGCTTACAGGGTTCTGGGGGGGGGGGGGGGGGTATCAAGGGGGGTTTAGGGTTTAGGGTTCAGGGTTTAGGGTTTAGGGTTTAGGGGTACTCCCTACTACTCCCTTAGGCTCCCTAAGCTTCCCTAAGGTTTCCTAGGTACCTACCCCCCCCCCCCTCCGAACCAATGAGCCCTGCGAAGTCCTAAACCCTAAAGGCCCTAAAAAGCCTACAGCCCTAAGTCCTACACCCTGAATCGTAAACCCTAAACCCTAAACCCTACAAGCCCTGAACGAGATCCCTAAAGAACGGACCCCGAATGCCCGAAGAGGCCCGAAAGAAGCCCCAAATCCCCCAAAACTGGGCTCAGGGTTTCCTCAGGGCTTGGGATTGAGGGTAGATGGGAGGGGGATTCAGGCGTTGGAGTCGAGATTTAAGTTTTAGGGAGTAGGGTTTAGGGTTTAGGGTTTAGGGTTCCACATGCCCCCAAAGGTCCTAAGCCTGGGTTTTTGGTTCCTTTCGAATCCGAGGCTGTCTGCACTCTCAGCTGGAAGACTTCCACAGCGAGGCATTCCAGGGGGCTTAGGATTTTAGGGTTTTTGGGTTGTGGGTTGAGGATCTAGGGGTTTTGGGGTTGAGGGTTTAGGGTTAGTGGGTTAGAGGGGTTGAAGGGCTATAGTACGTAGGCTCAGCGGAAAATAACCAGTCCCTTTTTGCCGGTGCTTGGGGCTTAAGACGGGTGCTTGGTGCCGTTACAAAGTAACAAGTCCCCGAAAGGGTGCCCTTTGGTCATTTGTGGTACCACGGTTCTGTTTTTTTCTATCAAGCCTCCGACTCACTTGAATTTCCTACAGTAGCGCTTAAAACCCTAACCCTTAAACTCTGGACTTGGAGCCTGAACCCTGAGCCTTCAACCCCTGGCCGTCAATCATAAACATTAAGCCCTCCCAGCCCCACATCAGCCCACCAAACCCGAAACTCTAAACCCTAAACCCCAAGGGCCAAGCCCTAAACCCCACACCCTAAACCCTAAGCCCTAAACCCTAAACCCTAAACCTCCCCACCCCCCAAACAAACAGAATGCTGAAAGCAAGGATGAAGATCGCCTCGCCTCTGGCCAGCCGACCTCCTACCGCGTGCTGGGATATTGCGGCCTGGCAGCCGTGGGTTCGAGTCCGCAGGTTAGGGTTTAGGGTTTAGGGTTTAGGGTTTAGGCTTTAGGCTTTAGGCTTTAGGCTTTAGGCTTTAGGCTTTAGGCTTTAGGCTTTAGGCTTTAGGGTTTAGGGCCGGTTTAGAGTTAGGGCTTAAGGTTTAGGGCCTTAGGGCTTCAGGGTTCCTATACCCAGGGATGAATTTTGGGTTCTTGCGGGGGGTAGGTACCTAGGGAACCTTAGGCAAGCTTCGGGAGCCTGTGGGAGTAGTAGGGAGTACTAGGGAGCTTTGGGTTCCATACCCCCCCCTGAACCTCCCTCCCTTAAGAACCCTCAAAAGAAGCTTCTTAAATCCGGGTTTTTCATCTTGTAGTTTCCCTTGCTTAGCTGTAAAGGAGTCTTTCAGCAAAGTACTTCTCAAGGGGTGCAAGAAGCCGTAAGTCTCCGTAAGGGTCATCTGTTAGGGTCGTGTGTTTTCCTGTAAGTTCACGGTGTCGTTCCATGGCCTCTTGGTGCCACTCCCGTTATCCTCTTCACGCTTGTTGGCTTTGCTTAGGGTTCACAAATACCCGAACACCAAGACCAAAGGAGTGCCATCATTACAATACAGTTCCCGGGCCATAAGAGGCTCGCCTGGCTGATGTGATGCCGTAGAAGCGAAGTTCGGCTGTCCGAAAACTTCTGCAGCTCTGGGCTAACTTTTTTTTCAAGCCCCAAGCCTTTAGAAGCCCTATAAGCCCTCTGTTGAAAGGCCTCTGCGCTAGGCATGTCTTCTTGTGGGCTGGGAACATGTTCAGTGTTAAGGGACAACCTAGAAGCACTTAGCACCTAGCACGCTTTAGCCCGAAGCCCTAAGCCCGAGGCTTAAAAACCCGAATCACGTGCA